ATTGGAGAACCTTTGCAAAACGAATGCCGGTTATGTTTCTCCTATAACATCGATTTTCCTGTGGGTTTGCTTAATACCCGAACAAGGTACAGGTTTGACCAGAGTATTTTCAGTTTTCAGCAGAGAAGGGAATTGATTAATTGCCCACACGTAATATCTTCTGATATTGTTGCGTGAATATACATATAATTTATTGATTCAAACACTACTTTGTTGAAGTAGGACCAACAATGGGATATGTACAAATAACATTTTTTTATTTTGTTTGTCAACTGTTAGGTATAGTGTTCATCAACAATATGTAAGATCTTTTTTGCAACTGCGTATCAGGCCATGCTCATTGTACTGTGCTGGCTGCGGCCATAAGCTTGTTCCAGCTTGTTTAATGTTTTGTATAGAAAGTGAAACGCTAGTAAATGTGTGCATGATTTTGTAGTTTTATCATTTATTCTTTATGTGTTTGGTAGACTACTATATATAGATAATGAGTTGTGATAATGGAACATTGTGATGTTGACCATAATGTCATTTCATCAAGAGGACTGAGTATCATTAATATCATCGTCCGGAGAATTGGAGATGCTCAGGCCTTCCCGAAAAATATACATACACATACTTCTTGGGAAAAAAAGGGTTTAATGTGAGTTATTGTGCTTGCTCTGTGTTTGTTTACTGTTAAACAAAGTATGATATCTGGGAGTTATACGTGTGAGCATGTGCTCGTTTGGGATATCAATTAAGTTACCCGTGATCGCAAAACTCTCCACCATTTTTCACATCGGCATGTTTTAATTCAAAATCAACTTTGTATATAGTAAGAGTATTCCGACTCCGCGTAGAGTTTTTGTATCTCCACATCACTTCCGGAAATACATAGGAAGTAAGCTTCCATTTTCGCTGGAAAATGTAATGTTCAGTCGACTTCGACTTCATGTTTCACATTTTATAAGCCAAAAGCAATACAATTCTTAACCTCAAAGCAAACAAATACAAACAGATTGCAATAAAAAGATCAATAGCTGTATTTTGTTCCACGAGATGTATACAGTGCATAGCTTTGCCGCACTGTTTGAAACAAAATGGCTGTATATCATGTTGCCATTGTTTCGAATTTGCTTACTTGAGCACAGAGGAGCAACTCGGGCATATTGCTATCCCAATCCGAACGTAATTCCAAAGTCGAAATCCTACTCTGGCTCGATGTTTCAAGGGTGGGCAGTGTTCTGGGCTGTGTACTGGCAAGGGCAAGCGCCTGGTCTGCACCCTACAGCGTCGCGTGTGGTCGCACGTTGTTGATCTGAAAACGACAATTGGGGACAGTTTTAATTAAATTATTTTTGTAGGTTTTTTAATTTTATTACAGTTAACTAGTAACCCAATGAAATCTTTACATAAAAATAATTGTCTTTGAAAGGTAATTGAATAGTTTTTGTATAGTTTTGTTTTTGATGGATTTACATGTGCTCATATTTCTTTTTCGCTTAAATCCCTTTTTTTACACACCATATAACTTCCATTTGCATTAAATCATAATATCAAGATGGAAACATATATGAAGCATGTTTAGTCTATTGTTCATATTTTGCACATTTGTTTCAGATAAACAGTATATCATATAAGAGTTGTTTAAACTGTTCCTGATGATGATACAAAAATCAACATGCAATGGGTTTCCTTCATGTTGTATTGACTTGTAATAGTTCTCTTTCTTCCTTTGCTTGTCTATAATAATGCAAGCTAAATGCAACTGTCATCATATCATCCAGGCTACTGGGTATGAACACAATGAATATGAATATTTAATCTAATTCTACTATTACTTCATTTACATGATGTTTTGAAACCATCTGTCTGAATTTTGCACTAACATTATTAGTCTTCATTGGTGAAAGTACATTTTGACAGATGACTTATGTAGAAGCATGGTAATCCAAATAAAGTAAACATAAAAATTTGTTTCCCTTAAGCTTTCATCACAACAGACATTTGTGATACATGTACACTGTATAAAATGTGTTTAATTCGCCATTTCAGATGACAGATGAAAGGTGAAGGACTCGAATCTTAAAATTGCTATCAATACTGATTGTTGCTTCTTGTCATGTCTTGACTTCACTACATGCAATTAGCAAAGGTCACTCTGATAGCCCTGGCATCTCATGTGACGAAGGAAGCACCAGATCAACCATGATTGATTTTCACATCCATTATCCTGTCAATTGAGCAAAATAGTTTGTTTCTACATCACAATCATGAATAGTTTCGTGTCTTAAACTCCCTGTATGCTTACAGTTGTATGTACATGTTATGTTTTGAAAATCGAAAAGGAGGATTCCTACCCGTAAGAGGAAAGTCTTACTTTGTTTGAAGTGTAAAGGTTGCATTCTTGTCTGTCTTTCATTAACCTCGGATGTTGTTCTTTGTCCATAAAGTTTATATAGTAGCAGACAAAAGTAGCAGCCAGCCTTCCTTCACACCACCAGAAGACTATACTCCCCATAAAGCTACGATGAGGGTATTCTTTCAATGTAGCCTTGTTTGTATCCAATGCTGGTGTGAAGAGCTACCTCCTCCTTTGAAATAAGCGGTTTCTTTTGAGGACAACTTACAGGTGATGTAAATGAAAACAAACTGATGTTGTGACATATGCAAGTTGTGAGAAGGAGTAGACACTTTCATATATGTTAATTTGCCCCATTGCGGCTAGTTATATAAAACGTGTATTCTGTGTATACAGCTCCTAGTGGACTCAAGTGGCCATTTGTAGAATTACATGGCAGGATGAAGGAACAGTCTGGCTGAACAGTGCCCTGGATGAATGTGTCTTTTGTTCAAACAGCTACTTTGTAGTGAAAAGGGGTGTCTGGCTGTACAGTGCAATAGAATGGTCCTATGTCTTTCTAGAGTAAGAAAAGGATCTCCCTTTTTGATATGTTTTACATTCCCCATTTAGTGTTTACATCTTCAGGTGTGCTTATCCTAGATAAACAGGCTGATTGTGTGAAAGGGCACTTCTTGCTGATCTAAAGGGAAGCATGCTGCAGAAATGAAGGGTAACCCCCTGAAGAAGTGAAGGGAACCCATTGTTGGTGTCAAGGGACACCTCCTGCTGAAATAAAGGACAATCCCTTGCTAATGTGAAGGGAAACATGTTGCTTGTTGGAACGAATACCTCCTGCAGGAATCAAGGATACACTCCTGCTGATGAGGCTGATGTGAAGGGAAGTATGCTGCTGGAATCAAGGGTAACCTCAAACTGATGTGAATGGAAACCCGTTGCTTTTGTGAAGGGATACATCCTGTCTGCTTGAATCAATAGTAACCTGTTGCTGAAATCATGTTGCGTGCTCCTGTTGAAATAAAGGGTAACCTCCTCATGATGTGAAGTGAAGCATGTTGGAAGCAAGGGTAACTTCCTGTGATGTGTTTGTGTGAAGACAAAAATACTGCAGAGGTGGAGGGAGATTTGCTGCTTCTGTCAAGGTAGGTCCCTGCTGCTGATGTAAAGGGAAGTGTGTTGCTGATGGGGACGTGTGCTTGCTGCTTGTGTGAAAGGAAACCTCCTGCTGATGTTTAAGATATGCTTGCTGCTTGTGTGAAAGGCAACACCTTACTGGAATTCAGAGTCACCTCCTGCCAATGTGAAAGTAAGCCTGCTGCTTGTGTGAAGGTAAGCTTGCTGCTTAACATCCTACTGGAATCCAGGGTCACCTCCTATTGATGTGAAGGTAAGCCTGCTGCTTGTGTGAAGGTAAGCCTGCTGCTTGTGTGAAGGTAAGCTTGCTGCTTAACATCCTACTGGAATCCAGGGTCACCTCCTATTGATGTGAAGGTAAGCCTGCTGCTTGTGTGAAGGTAAGCTTGCTGCTTAACATCCTACTGGAATCCAGGGTCACCTCCTACTTATTTGAAGGTAAGCTTGCTGCCATGTGAAGCGAAACATCATGCTGGAATCCAGGGTAGCCTCCTGCTGATGTGAAGGGAAGTATGCTGCTGGATTCAAGGGTAACCTCCTGCAGCAATGAAGTGAAGAGAACCTTGTTTCTTGTGTGAAGGGAAATATCCTGCTGGAATCAAGGATACCCTCCTGCTGATGTGATTTAAAGCGTGCTGCTTACGTGAAGGGAAATAGCCTGCTGGAATCAAGGATACCCTCCTGCTGATGTGATTTAAAGTGTGCTGCTTACGTGAAGGGAAATATCCTGCTAGAATCAAGAATACCCTCCTGCTGATGTGATTTGAAGTATGCTGCTTGTGTGAAGGGAAACATCCTGCTAGAATCAAGGATAACCTCCTGGCTCGTTTTTCCCTGCTTGCAATGTTTACTTAAGGAAAGTATTTTGATCTTGTTTGTTTGGTGAGGTGTTTTCCTTGTTCATAACATAAAGTGACTTGCATCAGTTTATTATATAAATTTGTACGTACGAAATATAACGAAATGTTAGAACAGAACAAATTAAATCCGTTTTGATATGTTTAGTTCGGTTTTCGATAGCCAGGCTAATGCATCAAAATGCATCGCAATTGCGCTGGTTTGGAAACGTATGTGTATATGGCGATGGCACTACATCTACTGCCACCTTTCCTACTTCTAAATCAAACTCAAAACTAACCTGTGTTGTTCACGGTGCCGTGGCAAAACTCCCTGTCTACCTTTCACGCGCCCTCAGCATTACAATGCGGAAGCGCAATCATAAGTTTCCACCACTTCCGGTATCAACACAAATGGCGGCGCTTGAGCTTCTGTATATGATCTCACATCGTAACACAATGATCAAATGAAGTCTTTATTTATTTTAACTTTTTTTACATCGGGGAGATAATGTTACATAGTGTTTGGTAACTGGGTCAGGTCACTCATACACATACATACACACACAGGGTAGCTTGCTGCTGAAGAGAATTGAAAGTTGCTGATTGTGTGAACTGTAGCCTCGCCCTCCTGTTTTGGGTTTTTTTTCTGTTGTTTTTTCTTATTGTTTTGTTTGGGTCTTCCGTTCTGTTTTGGTTTTATGCTTTGAGTGTTTTGTTTTTGTGTGTGTTGTGTGTGTGCGTGTGTGCGTGTGTGTTTGTTTGTGTTGTTTGGGATTTGGACCTTCGTGTTTCTTCAAACCATCTATTCGTCATGCTTTGAAGGTATATCCCGCATGTTCGTTTCATGTTCTGTAGTTGTGATAAGAATCTGTTTTGTCTGTATATTGTGCCTCAAGCTGCAGAGGCAGAGAGAATCCCAAGAGAGCTCAGAGGATTTTTTTCATCTCCCTGTCTCGTTTCGAATTGAGTTGCAGTGATTCGAATCTTAGGTAGTACAGGTATGTAGTGAAGTGTCAGTTTACAGGTGTGTTTACATTAGATAAACACAGATTATAAACTCTTAGTCATGTCTGCCATCATAAATATCATAACTATCCCAACCATTTTGCAAACAAAACTAATTCACGTTGACATCTAACTGGAATTAATCCAAATCATTGACATTATTAAATGGAACCGTTTCCTGCATTATTTCCTAATCTCTACGAATGTGGGCTCTAATGCCTGATGGAACTCACTCCCAAAGTACTAAATGCTAAGAAACATTATCATTGCATTACTTGTTGGCCAGGACCATGCTGGCAAGAACACACCTGATGGTGTAAAGGGAAACCCCATCTTTGTGTCAAGGGAAACCTCATGCTTTGATGAGAAATCTGCTGTTGGTTTGAAAGGGTACCTCCTCCTGCTAAAGGCCAGTAGTGTTGAAAGGTTAGCTTGTCCATGCAAGCTCCTGGTAGGTGGAAGGGACTGTTTGCATAAGTTCCTGTCACAGTAAAGGACCCTTGTCTTCAAGTCCCTTACCTTTCAACTTAGCAAACTCTCTGTTAAGTATTTCTTTATCAACTGACTGTCAGGTTTCTGCTGGAGTGAAGGGAAGCTTGCTGCCTATGTGAATTGAATCTTCCTGCTAATATCAAGGGTAACCTCCTGCTGATGTAAAATTGGTTTTCAGCAACCCATGCTTGTCGTATTTAAACTGCCTAGAACGATATCAGTATATCAATTACTGGAATGTCTGGGCAATACTCGATTATGTACAGACTGCTGTCAAAAAGCTGGAAAACGGCTGAGTGTGGAGTTAAACACGAACCAGAAATATATAAAAACCCATATTTCCATCCACTGAGAATGAGATAAAGGTTATGAAACCTTTTGTTTGCTGTCAAAAGCAGCAATCATAAATATTTTTTTCATAATTGTTCAATAATATAAAGAATAGGTAAACTGAGAATCTATACCTGTATGCACTATCATTATCAAAAGATACTGACAGAAAAATGTCTGATGTCACAACGTATTTACTGACACAGCTGCGCACTGCAATATGTTAGGATCGATGTATATGTAATTATCCGCTTTCATAAGCAGGCATGACGATGCGTCTTGTTGCCTTAACACATCATGCACCAAGGTAACTGCATACGAGCTTCAACAGCCGATTGTCGTATTCATCTTATGCCCAAGGGACGTGCACGATATTCTTCTTTTATTGGCGTTTGAGAAGATATTATTATAAAAATAGCACTTTAAAAGGTTGAACATGACCGTCACTGGAGATCTTTACAGTGTCAAATAATTTATTGAAAAGCGGTGGTGAGAACCGTCAACACTGCTGGGTCTCTAATTCATTACTTCCTTGTGTGAATTCTGTTGTAAAGATGTGTTATTTTCAGATTTGACGCACCAGTGGCAACTCCTTTAAGGGACTTGTACTATGTGTTCTCAGGTGAACAAAAGACTTTTCGAGAAATTCTAATATCACTACCACATAATAGGGATTCTGAAGTACATTCTTAGGACATGTAAATTACATAAACCCATAAGTGAATACATGTTTTCCCGATATTGGGAATCGAAACTGAAATGTTTGTTCCAAATTTCAAACGCCCTTTTCTCCCAATTGTTGAGACTTGTGCAGTTAAATGACCTTGAGCTAAAGTATTCCGGACATATAGTTTAAAGAGGGCAATATGATGTGCATAGGAAATCGCTCAAACTGCAAAATTGGTGGCAGGTGTTTCTGGTAGTTGGTAAAGTTGCCCTCATTATGTCGTATGTTTGCTTAGGGCTACCAAATTCGAGGCTCCAATAAAAACCATATAGAATACCTTAGCCGTGTAGCAGACATACATTTTCGTAAACTAGAATGTGTTATCTTCGCCAGCATAATTAGCATCTAAACTAACACAAAAAAGAAACTTGGCAGACGATTTGAGTTTCTGAGTGAGTTTAGTTTTACGCTTCACTCAGCAATATTCCAGCCATATGGCGGTGGAGACAATTTGAAGCTTAAAAGCGAAAAAACAACACAACATAAATGATCACCATAAACGGTATTGCAAACATCAATATTGCTAATCGCAATTTAGCTCTATGGATTAACAAGACCTTGTCGTATGCCTCGTCCTATCTAACGATCAGTTTTGCATCAACAGATATAATGATATCTTAAGATCAAATGCTATATCAAATATCATGATACCTTAAGATCAATTGTTCATATATAGTTCATGTCTTTGTATACAAAAGATGACCTACATGATATGGTATATATATATAGTAAGACGGTGTCTATATATTTGTTCTTTTGGGTTGTTAAGAGTAACAATTATCATTTTTCTTCTCTTGATATAACAAAGAGACAAATGTATGCATTGTAATCATTGTAATCAAACCACAATATCTGATCATACTTAAGTGAAATAGTGTGCTCCTGTTATGTCCTTTCAATGTAGAGGTTTGGTAATATTAGTCGACAATGTCTCTATTTGAGGTAAAAGATTTTATGCTATTCTTAGATAAATTCCGTGGAACACCATGGGTGCAGATATATTGATAACACAATCATTCAATCAACATGCTGGAGTGAAGGGAAGCTTGCTGCCTATGTGAATTGAATCTTCCTGCTAATATCAAGGGTAACCTCCTGCTGATGTGAATTGAAGTATGCTGCTTGTGTGAAGCTGAACATCCTGCAAGAATCAAGGATAACATAGTTGTCTCTTACCTGCTTGCAATATTTACTTGAGGAAAGTATTTTGATTGCCTTCCCAGGTTATCTCAGACACGGAGGTAGGGCTCAACAGGTGTTTGTTGAAAGACTGCTTTGCTGAGTTTTGTTCTACTGATGGATGGAAGTTTGTTTTCTACCTTTTAGACAAATATTTTAAATACCAGAAAATTCCTGACTGGTTGATATTTGGAGTTTTGATATTTCAATTTGCATGCTTGTTTTGCCTCATTGTGGATGTAACCTAATGATTTGGATTGCTTGATCTTCTGATGCCCTCATATTCTCATGTGATCTGGTGTCAATTAGTGGCCTCTGTTTAACGTTGTTTCACTAGACATAGAAGCATCCTCCAGTGGAATCTCCATTTGGTTCTTTCATTTTGGTGGATGATCCCTCTTATATGTTCGATCCATTTATGACACTTTGAAGGGGTACCCTGCATGTTTGTTTAATGTGCTGAAGGTGTATGCATTGTTTGCTAACCAAGAGCTCAATTACCTAATGATGAGCAAGTCATAAGCAAGTTGGTGCCTCACTATACGAATGTTGGCTCTAATCCCTGATGGAACTCACTCCCACAGTACTAGAAAATGCAAAACACATTATCATTGTATCACTTGTTTGGCAGGACCATGCTGACGAGAACCTGATAGTGTGAAGGGAAACCCCTTGCTTGTGTCAAGGGAAACCTCATGCTGTGATGAGAAATCTGCTGTTGGTTTGAAAGGGTGCCTCCTCCTGCTGCTGAGAACATTCTCCTGCTAAAGGCCAGTAGTGTAAAAAGGTTAGTTTGTCCATGCAAGCTCCTGGTAGGTGCAAGGGACTGTTTGCATAATGTCCTTTCATAGTAAAGGAGCCTTGTTTTCAAGTCCTCCTAATTCTCATCTTAGCAAACTCTCTGTACATATTCCTTTATCACATGGTTTTCAGGTCCCTGCTGGAGTGAAAGGATGCCTCCTGCTGCTGTGAAGGAAAGCTGGTTACATATGTAAATTGAATCTTCCTGCTAAAATCAAGGGTAACCAAATGCTGATGTGGGTTGAATTATGCTGCTTGTGTGAAGCTAAACATCAAGCTAGAATCAAGTATAAAATCTTGGTTGTTTCTTACCTGCTTCCAACGTTACTTAAGGAAAGTGTTCTCATTGCCTTTCCAGGTTATCTCCAACTGTTTGTTGACAGACTGCTTTGATGAGTTTTGTTCTACTGATACACGAAAGTTTGTTTTCTGCCTTTTTTGACAAATATTTTAAATACCAGTAAATCCTTAGCTGGTCGATAGTTTGATTTTTGATATTTCAATTTGTATGCTTGTTTTGCCCAGTGGTGGATATAAACTAAGTATTTGATTGTTTGATCTTCTGATGCCCTCATATTCTCATGTGATCTGGTGTCAATTAGTGGCCTCTGTTTAACGTTGTTTCACAAGACATAGAAGCATCCTTCCAGTTGAATCTCCATTTGGTTCTTTCATTTAGTTGATTATCCTTCTTGTATGTTCGATCCATTTATGACACTCTGAAGGGGTATCCCGCATGTTCGTTTAATGTTCTGAAGGTGTGAGAAGAATCTGTTATTTGTCTGTAAATTGTGCCTCCAGGTGCAGAGAGAATCCCAAGAGAGCTCAGAGGTTTTTTTCATCTCCCTGTCTCGTTTCGTCTTGAGTTGCAGTGATTCGAATCTTAGGTAGTACAGGTATGTAGTGAAGTGTCAGTTTACAGGTGTGTTTACATTAGATAAACACAGATTATAAACTGTTAGTCATGTCTGCCATCATGGTGGTAATCATCTCTCCAGGCCTCCAACTTCTCACAATAGCAAACTCTCTTAACCACTTGATTGCAAGGCCAATGCAGGTGTGAAGGAGTACCTCCTGCTAAATATTGATGTAAACGAAAGCTTTCTGCCCATGTGAATGGAAGTGATTTGTGCATTTTTAACTCGAACTGATACTAAACACTGCCATTAGTCAATGGAACCCTTTTCCTGCATTATTTTCTAATCGCATGCACACATATGACTCTTTTGCAAAACCAGCAGCTCAGTTAGTTAATGGCAAGGAAATCGCAAGCACCCTGTGTACGAGCAAGTTGGTGCCTCACTATACGAATGTTGGCTCTAATCCCTGATGGAACTCACTCCCAAAGTACTAGAAAATGCAAAACACATTATCATTGTATCACTTGTTTGGCAGGACCATGCTGACGAGAACCTGAGAGTGTCAAGGGAAACCCCTTGCTTGTGTCAAGGGAAACCTCATGCTGTGATGAGAAATCTGCTGTTGGTTTGAAAGGGTGCCTCCTCCTGCTGCTGAGAACACCCTCCTGCTAAAGGCGAAGTGTGAAAAGGTTAGCTTGTCCATGCAAGCTCCTGGTAGGTGCAAGGGAATGTTTGCATAAGTTCCGAAGGTGTGAGAAGAATCTGTTTTGTGTCTGTAAATTGTGCCTCCAGGTGCTGCTGAGGCAATCCCAAGAGAGCTGAGAAAGGTTTCTCTATCTGTTTACCTCGTCTTCGTTTGCTGTGATTCGAGTCTTAGGAAGTACAGAGATGTTGTGAAGTGTAAGTTTGCCCCCTCTATTTATAGTCTCCACTTGCTTAGGTTTATATAGATATTGATGCCAGTTCTTGATAATGTCCACCTCAACATATTGGCACAGTCTTTTGCTGATAAATGTGTGGTCAAGGGGAAATAACTATGTGTGGTCAAAGGGAAATAACTATATGTGAGTATAGCTTCTGAGATTTTCGTCTCTATCCTGAAAAAGATTAAATATCATAACTATCCCAACCATTTTGCAAACAAAAGTAATTCGTGTTGACATCTAACTGGAATTAATCCAAATCATTGACATTATTAAATGGAACCGTTTCTTGCATTATTTCCTAATCTCTACGAATGTGGGCTCTAATGCCTGATGGAACTCACTCCCAAAGTACTAAATGCTAAGAAACATTATCATTGCATTACTTGTTGGCCAGGACCATGCTGGCGAGAACACACCTGATGGTGTAAAGGGAAACCCCTTGCTTGTGTCAAGGGAAACCTCCTGCTGTGCTGGGAAATCTGCTGTTTGTGTGAAGTGGTACCTCCTCCTGCTGAGAAGATGCTAACGGCCAGTAGAGCTAAAAGGTTAGCTTGTCCAAGCAAGGTCCCAATGTTTGTTTGCCTTATGTTGGATGTAAACTAATGATTTTGATTGTTTGATCTTCTGATGCCTTCACATTCTCATGTGATTTGGTGTGAATTAGTCGCCTCTGTTTTACGTTGTTTTAATAGACATAGAAGCATGTTTCCAGTAGAGTCTTCATTTGGTTCTTTCATTTGGTTGATTATCCTTCTTGCTTGTTCAATTCATACATGACACTTTGAAGGGCTATCCCGCATGGTTGTTTAATGTTGTGAAGGGGGTTTTCCTTCTGTGCGTCTCTTCTTCGGTTGCAGTGAAGAGAGAGTACAGATATTTAGTGCAGTGTAAGTTTACCTTCTCTTTTTATAGACTCCACTTGTTTAGGCTTATATAGACATTGATGCCAGTTTTGTGTCCATGGCAGAGTCTTCTGCTGATGAATGTATGGTCAAAGGGAAATAACTCCATAGTTTTTCATTGTTGCATTTTACATGATGTGAGTATTGGTTCTGAGATTTTCGTCTGTATCCTGAAAAAGATTAAATATCAGAACTATCTCAGCCATGTTGCAAAGAAAAATAATTCGTGTTGACATCTAACTGGAATTGCCACTATTCAATGGAACCCTTTTCTCCCATTATTTCCTAATCTCATGCCCAAACAAACAAGTTATAATTTTGACATAAATATTGATCACACCAAAATTACCTGCTACAGGAGTTTCATGAGCAATATTCAAAGCATGATAACAGAAAAACACCTTGATGAAACACCCTCCTGTCCTTATCAGCAGGAATATCTGGTGGAACCATTTCTTCACTAAAACATTATTTTGCCTTGAAACAATAGCAAACTAGAACCTTATCAGTTGTTTCGGAAGAGAGTGTGCAACGAACTTTAAGTTGTAACCAACGACTAATTAAACAGAACTGGGCCCTCAACATCCAAACTGTTACAATTTGGACTACTCTCTCTTGAACATTTAGATCAAGAGAATGATCTTTAACTGTGCAATACAGTTCAGAATTGGAATCCTGTACTGAAAACTACTTTCAATGTGTTTTCATTTTCTGTGGTGTTTGGCGTTTGACGAACAATATGGTCAGCCATACATTTTCGCCCTGCCAAATTATTCCAAGTAAGCAGTTTTAACAGTGAGCGTTTCTACAACCCCCAACTACAACTGTAGATCAGTCTTTTATATCAGACAATATAGGGGCGCACAAGTAACACCACAGAAACGTTCTAACAAATACTCAGAGCGTACTGGTTAAGTTTGAGAATGTGGCAAACTACCCCAAACAGATTTTGAAGAGCACCAGTATCGCTTATGACGGTTAGGGGCTCAATATTAAAACTATCAGCTGATACAGATCATTTATCAAAACAAGGTGAGCACTCTTCTCTCAGAAGACTTTGATGACTGGTCTACATAGTTAATTAATGTTAATCCTCATGTCCAGCTAAGGTTTTGAACCTTTACATTTTGCAATATTTACACAATTTTACTTCACCTGTATATCTTCAATTGTTCTAAATATAGGCAAGAATGAAAAATACCGTTGCTTTGGCTGAAGGCAGAGACCATATATGGTCTCTGCTGAAGGGTAGGTTGGTTGACAGAATTTGTTCATTTGACAGTTTCACTTGTATAATTGCAAAAATGTAAGTTTTGCTAAAAACTAAAATGGTTATCCCGTTAGTAACTTGGAAGTTGTACAGTGAGTATACTGTCAATGTGAATGTTCTGTTGTGAACAAACGTCACGACGAGTACTGACGACAAATTCCAAACCTAATATATAGAACAAGATTACACATAAACGTACTTCCCAACTTATGATGCCATCATATTATGCACATGAGAAAAGTCAATTGGTTCCATGTAGTTGATGTCGATGGAAATGCAATACTGTGAGTTCTAGCAGATGGAATTACAATCACGAGTGTCCTTTGTTCATTGCATGTCCTCTTTTCAAAACATGGCAAAGAACAACAGACAATTTTGATGGTATAAATAGTTTCTGTTAATTCTTCGACAGTCTGAAGAACCAGCATTCTTCTGATTGAGCACCATCCCAGTAGAATCGTTCCATTTCACTCTGAAAATGTAACATACCATTCACCACCTGTTCAGTTCTAACCACCTGTAGGCATACTTCTACCCAACCGTGAAGGTCCGGGTCTTGATTGGTCTTCAGCAATCCATGCATGGAGACTAACGGGATCTGGTGGTCAGGCTCGCTGACTTGATGGGCACATGGCTTCGTATCCCAATTGTGTAGATTGATGCCCATGCTGTTGATCACTGGATTGTCTGTTCCAGAGTCGTTTATTTACAGAACTCCTCGATATAGGTGCAATATTGCTGAGTGCAGCGTTAAACATCAAACAAACGAAACACAATATACTTGGTTTTCTCCACAGCTACAGAATTTTTGAACATCTTCACAGCAGGCATAATTCAAAATGAACACAACGGTTGTATTGTAAGTTAGTATCTACACAATCAGTAACGACATCGTGTCACTTTATTTCCTGGTCGATCGATTACTTGATGTTTTGTTTGCAGACCTTTGTCGATTGGCAGAACTTCTGTGCTAACTCTTTATATGTAAATTGTGTGATAAGAAGGGGATAAGTGAGAACATTTGCCTTCTGCAATATTCCAGCAATATCACGGCGGGAGACACAACAGACCAACCATCCAACCAACAATACTTCTAACCACATACTCACGAGTATCAGTAATTCAAACGTATGCAATGGTGGAGTTTCTTCAAAGTGCCATTATTTTGGACATAAAACCTTTAGACGTAGGCATCCCCATAGGCACCTGCTGTGCTTCCCTGCTTGTCAATGTGTTTCCTAATGCACACGAGTAAAGATTTCTGTTCAAATTGACAAGATCAAAATTGGGGAATTAAGCCTTGGGGTTTGACGTAAGCTGCACGATTACAACAAGTCACACATCGTTCAATAATTATACACCCTATATGGTCATATACTACCCATCAAAAGTTTAGACTCACTTAAAACACACTATATGTTACATATACACACTTATGGTTACATTGAAGATGAATATTCCCACTAACTTGGGGGAACCGGCTGCAAACCTTATGCAGATGATTTGCACGAGGATCATGCATCAACTTACTGAAGAGCATGTGCACATATCGTATATGTGAACAGCTGCGTTTTGGTGTAACGTTTTGTTACAAATTCAAAAGTTGCATCATTTATTGACCTCATGACAATAATAATTTCAATGTTACAAATTTATTTTACAATACATCAGTTCATGTGTAAACAGTACCTTTACACAGCATGGAATATTTTGCAAAATCTAGTTTAGAACAGTTATCTGAAGTGGCTACATTTACACTAGTGAGTCTAAACTTTTGATGGGTAGTATACTAAAGAATTTCTGAAGATGTTTTTGTTGAACTAATAACGTGAAAACAATTTCATATTTGTAAACCACCTTCTTTGTCTGAAATTTTAATGCGTTTCCAGAATTACAGCAATTCAAAAATTTGAAATCCAAATCTTGTCTTATTATCAATAATAATAATAATAATTATAATAATAATCATCATCATCATTCTCTTGGCGCAGATCAGGAGAGTGCCCGGGTTCTCCACCGGGAGTACAGCCCTTCTGACACTCTGGGTAATGCAGAAGGCTGCAGTGTTGGGGAGTCTTCATATTCTCCGGAAAGTTCTTGGTGGGTTCGATTATAATTCATTAAAACGTGATACTGATATGCTGAAAATTGTAAATCACTTCTTAAATCGTACAACGGTTTCTTTTGAATGTGGCAAGGATGTCCTTTATTTGCTCAAATCAAAACCAAAACTGAAATCTTCAGTAACGTCAGAGTTTGTCTCCAAAAGTCCCTTTACTCGCCTCTTACGACAAGCATTGGTTGCTAAGGACCAATTCTAATCCGGATCGAAAATAACGTTGTGGTATTAATGAGAAGAAATCGTAGATGCAGTTGCAAAGACAAGCATAATTCAACAACACGTGATAATGATATACTCGAAATCGTAAATGATTTCTTAAATCGTAAAACGGTTTGTTTTGAATGTGGCAAGGATTTCTTTTTATTTGCTGAAACCAAAACCCAAACTGATATCGTACACTTCCGTAATGTCGGACTATGTCTCCGCATGTACTTGAAATATCAGTAAAATATTGGACTAGTCAAAATAGGACAAGGAAGTCAATGATATTATGCACAAGCTGTGGTGAGAGGTGAAGACCAGGTTATACTTCCGTTATTCTGAAATCCCATATTTTGAAAAAAAACTTCATAAAAATTAATGTAGAAACTAATATGGATATTTCGAATGAATCATTCTATTTTTAGAATAATATGAACAACCAATGGCCATTCACTTCTCGTTCGATGTGTTGTGCCCCCTGCTTCCCAAAAGGCGTACCCAGACACAACTTTCATTGTCTACCAGTGTGAGGTCCCAGGTTACCAAAGAATTTCTGCATTTTGTAATAATTATGGCCATCGGTTTCAATTCCGAGGTAAGTTTTTTCTCCGACTCAAATCACAAGGTTTGTCGACAAAGACACATTGCACGTGGACACGTGTATGTAATTTCCTCGGGCGCCATTTTGATAGTATCCGCCACCATGAAATGTCATGTCATGGCTCATTTATAAACAATAACACGTATTATGCCATTTATAGTGCTTTCTCACTGCACTCTTCCTTTCATAAAGGGGGCGCTGGGGTAGCCTAGTGGTTAAGGCGTTCGCTCGTCACGCCGAAGACCCGGGTTCGATTCCCCACATGGGTACAATGTGTTAAGCCCATTTCTGGTGTCCCCCGCCTGATATTGCTGGAATATTGCTAAAAGCGGCGTAAAACTAAACTCACTCACTCACTCACTCACTTTCATAAAGCCGGATGTTTGGCTTTGGGACTGTAGACGATTGTTATGTGCATTGTCGCATGAATAATCATTTACTTTGTGTTATAGACATGA